AGGAACTACAGGCCCAAATGTTCAGCCTGTGGCTTACATACCTTCTGAGAGAGAGACAAGCCGGTAGTCTCCCTAGTGGGTGTCTGAAGCCTGATGTCTGGATCATACTTCTCATGGTGTGAGGCCCAATTCCCTATGCCAGAGCCATCTGGGAAGCAGTAAAGATGCAGATTCCTGGGCCCCATTACAGACCTCTGGAATCAGAAGCTGTGGAAGCGTGGCCCAGGAACCAGCATTTCCTGGGGACACTAAGGCACACCGAAGTCTGAGAACCACTGTGCCAGTTAAACCCCATATTGGATACCTAGGGCTACAGAGCTAAAAAATCGCAGCCTCTGCCCTCAGCTCTCACAAAACAAATCACCTCTAAAGTAGCAAAATGTATGTGCTGGTATGTGACAAAGTGCCCTACTTCAGGCCACACTCACTGGGTGCTCCTTGGCCTGTGACCTCTCTTGGGGCTTGATTTTTCAGGGGTAAGATGAGGTTTTACCTCATCTTTCAGTTGACCTCTGAAAGCATCCCTTCCTCTAAAAGCCTGGGAGAGCTTTCTGGGCAGGAGTAGACAGGGAGGGTTCCAAGGAGGTGAGGCTAGCACTGGACCCTACAGGCTAGGTCCGATTGGTTAAAAGGAGGGGGCTAGACACCATACAGAGGGATTGATACTGACGGGTTACAGAGGATGGGTGGGTCTCTGAGGCTGTCTTTGACCCCTGCCTCTCTCTCTCCTACAGCTCCCCAGCCCTATCCCTTTCCGCCATCCCTCAGCACCATCAACTTTGAGGAGTTTTCCCCCATGGGCTTTTCTTCTGGGCAGATCCCAGGCCAGACCTCGGCCTTGGCACCAGCCCCTTCCATGACATCAGCCCTGGTTTCGGCCCCAGCCCCTGTCCCAGTCCTAGACCTAGGCCTGACTCAGGCTATGGCCCCGCCTGCTCCCAAGCCCACCCAGGCTGGGGAAGGGACACTGACAGAGGCCCTGCTACAGCTCCAGTTTGATGCTGATGAAGACCTAGGGGCCCTGCTCGGCAATAACGCCGACCCAGCCGTGTTCACGGACCTGGCATCGGTCGACAACTCTGAGTTTCAGCAGCTGCTGAACCAGGGTGTATCTATGACCCCCCACACAGCAGAGCCCATGCTGATGGAGTACCCTGAGGCTATAACTCGCCTGGTGACAGGGTCCCAGAGGCCCCCTGACCCAGCTCCCGCTCCCCTTGGGGCCTCTGGGCTCCCCAACGGCCTCCTCTCAGGAGATGAAGACTTCTCCTCCATCGCAGACATGGACTTCTCAGCCCTTCTGAGTCAGATCAGCTCCTAAGGCGGTGGTGACACTTATCCTGCCCAGGGCACTGGGTTGCAGGGGGTTGAAGCCCTCCCAAAGCAAGCACTTATGGATTCTGGGGGGGGCGGGGTGTGCTCCAACTGCCCCCAACTTCTTTGGGTAATGTCTTCATGGTAAAGGGCGTGAATTTTATTCTTTTATTGGCAATCTCTCTCTCTCTCTTTTTGGAGGTGCTTAAGCAGAAGCATTAACTTCTCTGGAAAGGGGGAGCTGGAGGGCTCAGCCTCTTTCATTATCCTATCCTGATGTTCAGCTCCCTTCTCTCTACAGGAAATTCTCAGGGCCTTCATCCCCACCCTCCAGCTTCTGGTACTCTCCTAGAGAGGACAGGCTGGAGCTGTGGCCTTGGAGGCCGCAAAGCCTTACTACCAAGTGTCTTCCTCAAATCGTGGATTCATTTACTCTTGAGCCAAAATAATGCCCCTGTTACCAGTCCTGTGGTGCTGGCATTGTCCTTGTGCCTAACACCAGGGTTTGAGGGGCTGGACTTTCTGCCCTGCAGTGGTCTCTGCCAGCTCTTTCCTTACTCAACTGTGGCTCAGAAGAACTGGTGGGACAGTACTTGGCCCTCTCCAGGATCCAGGGAGGTTCGATCTGATACTTATCTGTTCCCTGTTTCCTCAAGTGCCTTAATAGAAGGGTGAGTTGTTTGGAGAGTGTGGGGGAGGGCAGGCTGGCACCTCTCCAGTCAGGAGGCTCAGTTTTTACTGAAAAATCGAAGCAGTTGGACTCTTGCTCTTTCTACTCTGAACTAATAAATTTGTTGCCAAGCTGGCCAGAGATTTGCCTTCTTTCATGTCTTTGCTGGGCTTGTCAGGCTGGATATTGGTGATACAGAGTTGGATGAATATTAACACTGTCTTCTGAGAGTTTGCAGTCTGAGGGTACCTTTGAAAACCTTTCGTTACCGTCCAGTGGATGGTAAGCTAAGGTGGGTGGGGGTCCCAGCATAGTGAAAGCCCAGTAAGGCCCATAGGCTATAAGAGCTTCAGTTCTTAGAACAACAGAGTGTGTGTGTGTGTGTGGGGGGGGAGTGCATCTCACAGAGGGTCTAGCCAGCATTTGTTGTGAACAGGGTAAGACAGATGACATTGGAAAGGTTTGATGGGGCCAGGCTGTAAAAGACAATGCTGGACTAAAGTTTGGACTTCATCTTTTGGGTGGTCAAGGGAGAAACTGCATCTTTTGAGGGAGGGAGGTGTCGGCTAAAAGTGTATGGTTTGATATCCTGTTCTGCTAGAACCTAAGAAACCTTAAATTGGCAGCCCCAAAGGCCTAAACAAAACCCGAAGGGCTAGAGCAGAGGTACTTCCGGTTTGGCCCGACGCACGCGCAATAAAGCCGATTCGGCGTAAATCCTGGGCTTGCTAGGCCCTGCCCTTTTTTTAAGTGCGCATGCGCACAATGTTTCGCAAGAGGGAAACCAGGTAACGCGTTTCAGGAAAACCCCTGCTCTGAGGCCCATGGCGTCTACGTTTGGGGTTTCGCACTGTTGCGGAAGGGTGAATGCAGGAGTAGCAAGCAGGTTATTAGTGGGACATGTTGCAAAAAGCTAGCGAGTCCCCTGGGAACACAGTAGGCCCTGGGTGCAGATTCCGGTGGAAGGTGCCTACAGGGGAACATGTTAGCGGGCGGCGGAATGTTGGGGAACTGGAAAGCGTCTTTATCGTCGAGCTCGCTCCAGCCTCTTGGTCAGAGGGCGGGGATGGGGCGGAGCCTGAAGCAGGGTGGGCTACTTAGGGACCAGAACCAGCTGCACTTCCGCGCGCGGGGCTGAACCCGATCGTGGTGGCCAGGTCAGAGCCAGGGCAAACCTGCCAGGCAGCGACTGGGGAGGCGGGGCTTGATGGAGCCTTGGCTCTGTGGGCGCCAGGGCAAGCGCGAGGAGGGGCATGACCGGGTGAGAAGGCTTCTAAGCAGAGGAAGTGGATGGCGGAGGTGCCCACAGTGTGGCCAAACTGAGGGGTCCTCCAGCCCACGTCAACTTCCCTTTTCTTGGCTTAGCCAGTGTCCTGCAGTGACCCCCGGAAGCCCTCTAATGGGCCTTCCCACACTCCCTGAGTGACCTCATCCTGCTCATGGCTCGCCAATCCCAAATCCTTGTCTCCAGCCTAGACCTCTCCTGCGCACCAGCCCACTGGACATCTCACACTGACGTCCCTCAGGCCTTTCAAACGTACCCTGTCCCAAATGACCAGAGCCACCCCCAGCCTGCCCTCCTTATCTCAGTCATGGCCTTGCCATCATCCAGGAACTCCAGTCAGAAACTTGCCACCAGTGTAGATGCTGCAACTCCCCGAGTCTGCTCCCTTACCAGGTCCCAGCAAGTCTGCCCAGTTCTCCTCATCTCCGCCACTATCACCTAGTTTAAGTCACCACTACCTCCCAGTAGGTGCTGCTACACCCTCCTCTGTAGCCTTGCCTTACCTGCAGCCAAAGGGCTGACACCCAAATCTCACCTCATCAACTCTCCCTTTGAACATCTGTCCATGATCTGACCACATTTCAGTTTTCTGTAGGCACACAACCAGAAAGTGACCAGAGCCTTTCCACACTGCCCGGTGAGGGCTGTCACTATAATCCGCACCAGGTAAAAGCTGGGACAGTGCTGGGAACTGCTAGTCCAGGAGCTTTAGTGCACCCTTCACAGCCCTTTCTGATTCAGCTCCAGCCTCTTTGACCTTGGGTCCCTGCATGTGCCTTGACTTCAGTCCTGTAGCCCCCGGATTGGTCCTATCCAGGATGCCTTTGACTTCCATGCCTGGTAAACTCATATTCAACCTTCAAAACTCAACCCTCACATTACCTCCCCCAGGAAGCTTGATCCCCTAATGGTTTCTCAAGGCCCAATTCATCCTGCCAAAGACTAAGTTAATGAATGGACCCAGTGTCTGGGTCTCAGCAGGGTGAGCCTCAGCCAGCCTGGCAAGGGGCTGGACTAGGCATGTGATGCTGGGCAAGTCAGTGCCCTGTCTGGGTCTGAGATCCAGAAGACTAAGGGTTTACACAAAATCCAATTTTGGACCTGCTGATGGCACTCATGGGAAGGGGCCCAGCCTGGTAAGGAATGAGGGGTCATGGGCTGGTGAGGAGAGAAGTGGGTGAAGGAGTGATTTCTTCTGGGACATGGAAATAATTCCCAGGCAATTGAGGCATAGATGCTACCACCTCTGGAATTGGGCCCTGGAAGATCTGGCCCTGTGGTTGAGGGAGCTCAGTGACTACAGAGGAGAGGTGGGGCCTGCTTTGGGAGACAGGGCCTCACATGGTGGAAAGGCCTTCATAAAGGGGTATGGTCAGGCTCTCCTTGACCCCTAAGCTCCATCCTTCCCTGCCCTGCAGGTCCACCCTCTGCCCCTGATCTCAGCCTTTTAGGTTTATTTCCAGTGCAGGGGCCTGGCTGGGCCTAACTTGAACAACTAAGCATAATAGGTGTGGGGCGTGGCGACCTGCTTCCCAACAGACCAAATAAATGTTTGTGGGAGAGAGGCCAAGGGGTGGCCTAGCCTCAGAGAACCCCTCAGTGAGTGCCAGCTCAACCCTAAGCCAATGTCCCCAGGGCTTGCCCTTCTAACTGGTCTTAGGAGCTTGGCTGGGGCCTCTAGAGGAAAACCCTTTTCCCTGTCGTGTCATGAACATCAAACACAGACACAAATAGCAGTGGCTTATTTACTCCCTGAAGTCCCCCATTTTTCACAGAATATTTACAAACAGGAATGGGGTAGGGGTAACTTTGCCACCAAATAATGGGCCAAGGAGTGGGAGCAGTGCGAAGATGCGCCTCTGCGCATGGAGAGTTCCTGAGGAAGGAGGGCCCAGGGCCCAGTGTGGCCTCTGGTGCCCTGAGGACCTGGACAGTTCAAGCAGGTCAATAGCCAGGCTCAGGCCAGGTCAGTGGTGGGAGTGCCCAACTGCTTGGAGGCCAGAAGCAGGCGGGTGGCTGCGCTCTCAGACTCCGCCTGCAGCCGCCGGTTGTTGTGCCGCAGGCTCCGCACCTCCTCCTCCAGGGCTGCCTTGTCTGCTTTCTCCTGGGGTTTGAGGGGAGGAGGCAGGAGTCAGAGTGGCCAGCACCTTTCCTGGGGCAGCCCTATGATTCCCTGCCAATCCCCTGCCCACCGCCATCACCTTCTGCAGGTCCTCCTGCAGCATCCTGAGCATGGACTCCAGGTGTGAGACCTTTTCTGACAGGCTCCCAGGTTCTGGCCTGAGGATATGGGGGTCAGGACTCAGTGGAACCGAAGCAGAGGACAGCACCATGGTTGGCTCCCAGACCCATCCAAATGAGAGGGGCCCAACCCCAGTCTTTTCAGACTTATGTATATGTGAAAGCAGAACCCCAAGACAATGCTTAAGTCCAGTGGATGGGTAGATGGTGGTCACTCAGGCACGGTGAAGGGGCCAGATCAGGGCAGGGAGCCTTACTCAGCATCAGGCTTTGGGGTTCCCTTGGCATCTCCGCTCTCTGGGATGGGCTGTCCTGGGGGGACAGGGGGACCATTTGAGCAGGTTGATAAAGAGAATAAAAGCCCTGTCCTGGCTCTTCCCCAAAGTACCCTGGTGGCCTCACCCTCCCGGGACAGCGACTCCAGGATGGTGTTGCAAGTGGAGGCAATCTCCGAGATGGACTGCCACTCTTCTTCCAGAGTCTCACTGCTCGCCTCTGACATGACTGGGCACAAGGAGGTGGGCTCAGCCAGGGAAGCCCAAGCCAGCCCCTCCCCCCTGCCCACCTCCTGTACTCCACCTTGCACCAGACTCACTTTTGCTGATGGAGTTCCGAAGAGACAAGGTTCGTGGCAAGAAGGAGGCCCTCAGCTCCGGGGCCGGGTCACCCTTGTCCTCACCACCACTGGGGCTGCCTGGCCCATCCTGAGGGACAGAAATGGGTATGAATGCGGCGACACCCACCATCACCACTGTGCCCACCCCACCCAGAGCCTTATTTCTTCTTACCTGGCTGGGGGGTGTCTCCTTGCCAGTACTAGGTGCTGGAGGCTTGACTGTAGTGGCCAGGAGGAGGTCCGGGGTGGTGTTGGGCAGGACTGGGGCCTCATCTGACAAGGAGCTGGGGAGAGCAGGGACAGCTCAGCACTAGCATCTGCACCCCAATGGCCCTTGCTTTCAGAGGCCTGCCTGTGCAGCCTCACGGGGCTGGATGAGAGGGATGGCCGAGAGGGTGCACCTGCAGGGTGACAGTGAGTTTTGGCTGTGCAGGAACTCAGTTCTCTCCTCAGCCAGGTCCCCAGGCCCGGAAGGACCGCTGCCGTCGCTCAGGCATGCATGCAGCAGCTGTTTCGTGGTGGGCATCAGGGCCACCACAGGGGCCTCATCTTGCACTGGTTCTGGGGCCCCCCGCCGGCTGGGCTCCTGCAGAGACAGCCTGTACAGCTCCGAAAAGCTCCTGGCAAGGAGGAAGGGGCAGCATCAGGCAGGAACAGCCCGGCCCAGCGTCCTGCATCGCCAGTCCCACTCACAGTTGTGTCTGAGGCTCACTTCTAGGAGGCGAGCTCTCCAGACTCACTAACAATGAAAAATGTTTGCCTGGCTACGGGCCATTTTTCCAGACCGAGGTTCAAATCACAGTGCTGTCCCTGTGTGTCCTGAGCAAATCATTCCGAACATCCATTTCTCCATCTGTGAAATGGGGATAACAGTACTGACCTTTTATCTTGCTGTGAGGATTTCAACAACACCAGTAAACGACTTAGCATAGAGATCCAAAAACTGCCTGGAGACCAAATCCAGCCCCTGCCCTTTTCTTTTCTTTTAGATGTGCCTGTTTTTGTACGAATGCAAGCTAAGAATGGTTTTTACATTTTTAAATAGTTAAGAGATGATTTCATGACACGCGAAAACATACAAAATTCAAGTTTCAGTGTCTGTAAATAAAGTTTTAGTGGAACGCAGACACACTCCTTTACTAACTGGCATAATTTTTCTACCCATGAGGAAAGTACGGCTCAGAGAGATTAAGAGAGGTGGAATTCTCTCAAGGAGGAAAGGCCTTCACCTGGGACTCTTGAGAGAATGCTAATGGCGACACAGGAGGCACTAGGCGGTGGCCAGCTGCCCGTTTCTCCCACCTCCCCGCGTCCCGGCGCCAGAGCCCTGACCTGCGGGGCCGGCCACTCTCGTCTGGGGGCAGGACGGTGACGCAGACCTTGGGCGCCGATCGCAGCAGCTGAGCTGCGGCCTCCGGGCCAAGGCTAGGCAGCGTCCGGCTGCAGACGCGCAGCAGGCGCGCCCCGGGCCGCAGCCCCGCGGTTTCGGCGAACGTGAAGCGCTCCACGTGCGTGACGAAACCCTCGGCGTCCACTTCGAAGCCCAGGCGGCCTTGGCCATCGCGAGGCAGCGCCAACTCACGGGTCTCGCAGCCTCGGCTCACCAGCTGGAGCAGGGCGGGGCGTGAAAAGCGCTGACCGGGGGTGGAGCCGTCCCAGCGCCAACTTTGGGGACCCCATCCCAGGCGATACAAAAGTTCTCACACTCCCGAGGACAGCATTAGCAACCCACCCGGCAGATGAGGACGTGAGGCTCGGAGACCAGTCACCTGCCCAAGGACCCAGCTTTGCCAGGCTGGGTCTGAGGCTCCCCTTGACTTCCCCTTTTCGTAGGAGAGGCAGTGGGAGCGAAGGGTTCCAAAGCAGGCTCAGCCCCCGACGCGCGGAGGGACCCGGGCAGCGAGTGCCCTTGTACCCTGCCGTTGCTCCTGGGTCTCACCTGCAGGCGCGCCACGACTTCGCCTACGGCTTGCCCAGGGGTGCCGTCGAACCGCAGGGTGATCGCCTCCCCGTGGCCGTGGTACAGGTCGAGCTGCTGCTCCGAGAAGGTCCAGGCCAGCACGTCACGGCAGGAGCAGTTAAAGACTACGCGGCCGTCGCGCGGCACCACCAGCACCAGCGCCTCTGCTGAGATGCCCAGCAGGCAGGGCACCTCGGCGCTGTCAGGGCCGCTCGCCTGGGCTCCGGCCGCTCCCCGTGCTCCAGGCGCCGCGCGCACTCCCCACACCAGCGCACCCGCCGCCTGCAGCTCAGCACCCGCGCCCCGAGCGGGCGCCCGCCGCCTCCCGCTCAAGGAGGGCAGGCCGAAGCGGGAAGCTGAGTCCAGCGACGTGGTGGTCACCTCGTTGGTGGCCAGGTCCTGCAGGTACTGCTGGCGCGTGCGCGTGGCCATGGTGTGGAACTGGCGTGCGTGGCCCGTCGCCTGCTCGCCATTGAGCGCCTTTGCCAGCAGGAAGGCTCGGAAGTCGGCGTTGGCTGCGAAAGGACCTCCGCCGGGGGGCAGAGCCGGCCCAAAGGCCGGGGTGTCCTGGGTACGGCTCACGGCCACCCTGCAGTGAGGGAGACGGTAGTCAGGGGCAACAGGGAGGGTCTAGGAAGCCATGCCTGTGGCAGAAGTGGGACCACTGGGTTGCCCACCTGTACGAGGTGTGTGGAGTGCAGGGCAGGTGAGCCCGCACTACCAGGAACACATGCTGAAAGTGTGAGCGGATGGTGGTGGGGCAGAAGGGCTTGCTGCCTGGTTCCTGGAATACGATGGTCACAATGTTGTTGCCGATGTGGCGCTTCCGCAGGAGCTAGGTGTGAGATGGTGGAGGATGTGAGTGAAATCTGTCTGCTCCCCAAGTCCCTCCTCATTCAAGCAACACACAGCCTGGGTACCAGTGGCTTCACTACCAGCCCCTGATGAAGGCCTGGGGTGTTTGTCTTTGGGCACCAGCAGGGAGGGTAGTTGTTGTAGGTCAACAGAGCTCAGGCCAAGGCTCAAATACTGCCGTCCCCACAGCACCCCTCCATGGCTTCCCAGAAGCCCCTGGCCATCCCCCACCCCCATCCCAGCCCTCTCACACCTGCTGCTGGTTATTGGGGGTATAAGGCAGCATTGTGGACACGTGGAACATGATCTCGTGGTCCTGGTACATGGTGTAGAGGGAGTGCGTGCCCGTGGAATCCGCTGTGGGCAGGGAGTTGGGGACACAGGGGGAGAGAAAGGAGAATCTAGGTGGCCTGAACCTACCACCCCTGCCTGCAGCCTGGAGCCTCTGTGCTTCCAGCCAGCAGGTGGACAACCCTTCATGCCACCAACCAATGTCCAGGCCACAAGGTCCTCAGCCTTGGCTGCTCCCCTTCCTCTCTCCCCACAGGCTCCAGACTCCAGCCTGGGGTCAGGATGGGGGGCTTGAGACAGAATGAAGACAGAAATGAGAAATGGCCTGCGAAGAGGGAAGAGGGGCAAATGTCATAGGAGAGGACAAATGTTGGCGCAGGCACCAGCGTCTGTGGAACAGCTAGAGGATAGAAGGCAGGCAGGAGGTGCTCAATAGAAACCCCTTCCAGGGGCCCTGGGGCCCTTCCAACCAGGAGGCGGGGCACTCCCAGGAGGCTGAGCTGGTGGGATATGTGTGTTTGATGGAGGGGGTGGTGCCCCCAAACTTTCTTGGTCCCAGCTCAGGCAGTAGGGCACCAGGGCCTTGGGGAGAGTCCCAACCCCTCCTCTCAGGTTGGCCTTTGCAGCCCCTGACCCATGTCCTCAGCCTACCCAAAGAACTCTCGGCTCCTAGCTACAGTACCAGGACAATATGGGACAGAGAAGTGACAAGGCAGTTGGTTCTCACCAGGACAGCCTGCTCCTCAGCAAGATCTTCCCCCACCCCTGCCCCCAACCCTCTGGGCCTCACTTTTGGTGTCCAGCTGGGCCCGGTAGCTTTCAAAGCCTTTAAGCCGCACCACATCGCCCAGCAGCGTGAGGAACTGCATGAAGGCTGGTCCTGCCTCCTGGTTGTTGTACATCTCCTCCTCCGAGCCCTGGCCTGCCCGGCAGTACAGGATGCCCACCTTGCGCTGGGAGCTCAGCTGGGGGGTGGGGGATGGGGGTGGAGAGAGGGCACAGGCAGAAGGCTCAGGCCTCAGTCCCTTCCAGCCCCAACCCCCACCAGGCCTTGAGGAATGGATGGGACACTGGCCTGGGGGTTGGGCTGTATGGATGCCTGGCCCTGAGCACCACCCTCTCTAAGCCACCTCTGTGTTCTTGCCTATCAAGTGGGTTTGGTCTGTCCTACTCCCAGTGCTCAGGAGAGTAGAGGAGGTCACAAGTGGGATGGGACCAAGAGGGGGTTGGTTCTCATGTGACCATAGAGGAGGTGATTTACGGAAAGGGTCCTGGACACGATGCACTCGATCCCAATTAATGTTCACATTGTCATCCTTATCTCAAGGCTAGCCTGTCCTCCCCTCCCTCGAATCCAAGGAATAGCCACCCCAGCCTCTGGAGGCCTTGAGCCCCACACCACCTCCATTCACTCTGTGCTCCTGGCTCGTTTCCATCTGGCGTTAACTGTGCACAGCTCAAGGCACTCTGACCCCAGGCAGACAAGCCCTGTTCCCCTCCGGCTCTGGTCTCCCTTCTTCATACTAAGCCTGTCTACACCCAGTCCCCACTTTAATTTCATCAGCCCCACTTCCACCCCAGCTCCTAAACCTCAACTCCCTCCCAAATCCCTTGGGATCTTCTTAAAGTGCAGGCTTATTTAGTAGGTCTGGGCTGGGGCCCAAGATTCTGCATTTCTAACAAGCTCCCCAATGATGTGGATACTGCTGGTCTAGACCTCATTTTGAGAGGCAAGGCTCCAGATGACCTCTGATACCCTCTCTCTGAAAAGCCAGCTCCTCTGGGGTCACAGTCTAGTTTAAGATCAGGGTCAGGGCCAGGTATCCCGGAGCTGGGCTGGCTGTGTTCAGACCAGCTCTAGCTCTAGGGCTGGGGGGGCACCTCGGTCACCACTCACCACTTGCTCGTCCAGCGTGAGCAGTGTGCGTGGCACTTTCGGTGATGCTGAGCCCAGGCGCAGGCAGGTCGGGCTCAGCCGCGGTGCCACGTGCTCTAGAAGTTTCCTTGGCGACAGGCCCCGCGGGGGCCCTGGCGGCAGCGCTTCCTCAGAGATGGTGCCGCGAAGGGTCCTGAGCTGAGGAGGAGATGTAGGGGCACTCAGGCTCCATACAGGTTGTTGAGGAGGCAATCCGCTGTCTGATCCCATGACCCCGGCCCACCTGCGTGGTCCGCACGATGATGCGGTAGCTGTGCAGAGTGCCTCCACCGCTGCCCTCCTTCTCCTCCCGCCGCAGGCTCACTGCCACCGGGCCCAGCACCTCGTCCAGTCCGAAGAAATTCTGGTGTTCTGGGGGAACCAGGCAGTGGATGACCGGTCCCGCGCTCCGTAGTCCCACCCTCGCTGGACCATACCTATCACTAAGATCGCTGGACCATACCTATCACTAAGATCCGGACTAGGCCCCATGATCACCAAGCGCAGACCCTAGACTAAGTCCCACCCCTACGAAATACCTCCCATATTCTACCAAGCCGCTAGCCCTATGCCCCGCCCCCTTTGAGTCCCCGCCCATATCACACCTTGCCAGACCCCGGGGGCCAATGCCTGCCTGCTCCCACGCCTAGATCTATGACCCGGCCCACCATGCCCATATTCTCCAGGAAGCCTGGGGCCCTCCCTTCTGGACACTGATGAGAATAAGGTTTCCTGTGCAGGAGTTTTCAGGCCTCAGTTTTCACCTCACAGAAGCGTAGATAGGAAATCTCTCCCCAGCCCAGAGGAGTAAGAGGATGAATTAGATGGAGGCAGAGGGGTGTGCCTGGCTGTGGGTGGAGGCTGGGGTTGGCCTTACAGAGGTGCTTAAAGCTGGGCCCAGCAGGGCAGCCTTGGCCCAGAGGCAGAGCCTAACCCTTCATATAGCCAGGGACTTGACAGGGAAAGGACAGCTCATGAGGCCTACTGTGTGCACTGCAGGTGACAGGGACCTCTGCCCCTTCCCGGTGGCCCTCCCCTCACCTTTGTTGTAGAAGTACTTGCGGTAGTAGCCAGCGCCCAGGTCTGCGTGCTCCAGGCTGTAGGCTGAGGTTCGGTTTTGTGGCTCCTCCATGATGGACACGGCCGCATTGGGCAGTGCAGGGGGCACAGGTGGGGATGCCGGTCCACCTAGGCCCAGCTCACCCTCACCCCCAAGCTCACTCACAAAGCCAGGTGCCTCAAGCAGCAGGTCCGAGCTGGCAGTCTGGTCCTGGGTCAAGGGCAGGGTCCCAGAGCCGGCCTCTGTGTGGCCCCCTGTCCCCCGAGGCCTTGGAGCCCAGTCAAACAGCAGGCTCTGCACATCATAGTGGGCGAACCAGCGGGGCTCAGGCACTGGCGGGAAGGTGGGCTCTGGCTCCTCAGCGGGCAGCCCCAGCAGTGCCAGTGGGTCAGTGAAGAGTCGAGTGGGGACTGCGGCAGGGCGGCTGGCCTCCTCATGGCTATGGGCACGAGCGCGAGGGCTGGACGGTGTGGCGGGCCGGGCCTCGCCTGCATCACTGCCGCTGCGCAGGAGTGGGCCCCGGGTTGGCCTCGGCTCGAAGGTGTGTGGTGTCAGTGGGGGCCGTGCTGGCTGACGCAGCTTGCGGGCGAAGAGGTCATCAGTGGGCGCAGGGGCTGTGCCCCGCCGAGGGCTCCCAACGCCACTGGCCCACATGGGCGTGCAGCAGACCTGGCTCTCCGGGGGCCTGGCCACATTGGCTTGCACGGTGTTGGGTGCTTGGTGCCCAGCTGGCAGGCCAGTTCCTGCCCTGAGGGAGGAGTGGGCTGCTCAGAGGGGCCTGGGGAGAAAACAGGAACCCGGGCCCCCAGCCTGGTCCTCCACCACACGGGTTGGCTTCCGGCCCCCTCCGCAACCATCAAAGACGCTTCCGCTTTCCTGGCCACTTCCTCGTCTGCCTCAGGCTAAGGTTTCCAGCCCCCTCCTCCAGCTTAGTGCTGGGCAGGGCCAGGGGCTGGGCAGTTGGGGCCTTGGCCCTGAGGGTCTTGGAGCCTGGGCAGCCCTGCGGCTGCCAGTGTCCCCCAGTTCCCACTTACACACCTTGGCTTTGGCCCGGGCCCAGGCTGAGGGTCCCCACTAAGGCCTTGTCCTACTGGATGATTTGTCTCAGCTGAGACGGGAAACCCATGGGGCCGCTGGTGTCTGAGTCCTGCTCACTTGACAAAGGGAGGACGTCCTGTCCCCAGAGACCTTCCTCCCTGCCCCTCCCACTTCCTCTGGGATCCCTGAAGAGCTGAGCACCCAGAGGCCTGGTCTCAATGTCCTGGCTCTCATGGCCTCAAAACCTCAAGGACACAGGGCTCCCAGGGGGCATTGGCAGGGCAGGAATGGCAAGAGGACTTCCTTTGGCACAGGAAGTGGCCTCAACTCTGGGCCCAACCCCTGCCCAGCCCCACATCCTGAGGAAGGTGGTGGGGTCACACTAGTTCAGTCATGGAACCCAAGTTACCCTGGCCTGAAGGACAGGGCCTGGATCACCCTCTTGCAGGCTACTGTGGCCGTGCCTGGGGCAGGAGGGAGTCACGATGACTGGGCCCCTTTGCTAGAACTGGGATCCATAGGGACCTCTGCCTACCTGGCCTTACTGATGCTGACAGGGAGACCTGAACTCCATGTGACAGATGGTCAAACTGAGGTCCAGATAAGGGGATGCCTGAAGCAATTCCGCATCAGAGCTAGGATTTGAACCTGAATCTGTCAATCTCCAGGGCTCAAACAGTGCTGCACCTGCCCACTCCTCTCCTTGTGTGTGTAGGTGGTTGGTAGATGGGGGTTGGGCTGAGGTTCAAGACCTCACAGAATGTAAGACCGAGACACCAAGGCCCCAGGGACCTGCTAAGTGCGGAAATGTGTCGAGATCAGAGGAAGGTGCAAAGGGTGGTGTGAGAATATGAGAATATGGGTGGTGTGAGAAATAGGGGGCCACCCCTAGTGAACCCAGGATGGAGTTGGCTGCTGGGGCAGAGATGTGGGGACCCTCCACTGGAGTGCAGGCACCTATCTGTTGGTGGGTCTTTGTGCATCATCTAGTGACATTATGTGAGGTTAGAAAGGGGTGGGAGCAGAGCCTCCGTGTACCTCTTGACTAAGTTTCCAGAAGCAAGCAAACTTAGGCCTCCAAAACTCAGTGCGCCTCTTCCCTTGCTTCTCCTAGGACAAGCTCTGGCATTGACCCTGAGCCTCTGTTCTCTCATTTCTAAAATGGGGTTAACCATTCCTGTTCCCTCCCCACACTGCTAGAAGTTTGAATGGAGGGTTAAGTGAGTGAAGCTGGCCATGTGTTAGTGTGTAGTGGCAGATGCGGGCCCTGCCTCCATGTGCCAAGCTCTTGGGCCTGTGCTATGGTGTGTGGTGGGAGTGAGAGGGGACACGAGGGGGTCTGTGCAGGCCCCTTCTCCATGTGGGCTGAGCTCTGATGTGTTCCGCACAGCCAATGGGCTGCTCTTGCTCTGGCCCTGCCTTGGGGGTGTTCTTGGGCTCTGCCCCCCATACAGCAGCTTCACACAGGGTCCATTGAGGCCTGGACATTCCTCCAGGCCTGTGTCACTGGGGGTGGGTGGGGGGGGAGGGGACTGGCCCCGCCTCCATAGATCCGGAAGGCCTGGCTGCCCCAGGAGGAGGCGCTGGACGCTTCCCAGCACATCTGGAGGTCATGACCCCATTTCTGCTGCCAGGGGGTGCGACAGATGTTTCCTCCCAGGCCAGGCCCGGGACTGGGGGCGGTGTGCAAAGGCTAGGGAGGAGGCCGCCCAGGGAGAGGGGGAGCCCCAAAACAGGGGGAATCCCGCACACAGCCGGCAGCAGGGGCAGTCGCCAGCGCCACCGAGAAGAGCCGGGCGCCACAGCCTTATCCACTCGTTTGCACATCGGCCGGGTCGGGCCGTCACACAGAGGACAGAGTGGGGGCCGCTGGCTGGAGGCAGGGAACTGGACATGCTGACTTGGGACTGGAGCTGGAGCCAAGGGAGGTTAAGAGGATACAGACGGAGAACGTGGCGAGGACCCCCCAATTCCCACATACACACACCGCCCAGGCCCACGCCAGGCCACGTTCTCCCCTGTCCGGTACGACCGCAGTGACTGTGTTCCCCCGCGCCCGCCGGTACCTCTGGGGCTCCCGCCCGGCGGCCGCCTCCTGCGCTGGGGTCTCGCTGCCGGCTCTCCCGCTACCGCTCCCGGCGCGGGCTCCGCCTGGGGGCGGGGCCAACCGGGGGCGGGGCCAGAGGCCGGGGCGGGGCCGGCCCAGAAGCTGGCTGCAGCGGGAAGCGCCCCGGGTGGGGACTCGAAGCCCGGCGGTCGCCAGTCGTCAGCCAGCACGCAGCCAGAGCGCCAGGCCAGAGCCAGACCCAGCTCAGCGAGCTGTCGGGCCTCCAGCCCTTGGCTGAGACCCGGGAACAAGTGTACCTGCCCTCTAGACCAACTGGGAGGACTAGAGCAGGACACCTAGTGTCCAGCTCCTATGGGCACATAACAGGTGCTCAGGAACTGCGACATTTCTGAGCACTTGCTAAGCACTGGGCCCTGCTCTACACATGCTCTCATTTATTCTTAAAACACCTTAAACAGGTGTCATCTTTATAGCTGGAAAAATTGAGTTCAGAGAAAAGCTTTAGGCCAAGGTCAAGGCTGATAATTGTAGGAGCCAGCCATTGGAGCTGGAAGTCTTGGATTATAAGGGTAAGAAACTGAACAAAATGAACTTTGGAACAAGGCTTGAAAAGGGAACAGGTTTGTGAAGAAGCAGACCCAGGCCTACTTGAGCCTCATCTTGGTCTGACCTTTATCTCTATCAAAACCCGGTACCAAATCTTTCATCTCCTTCTGCAAGCTCATCCACCCTGACCTGGCTACCTCCACCCAAACATTCCCAAGATAGAATAAACTGCCAACCAAAATCAAAAATAGTGTTATTAATTCTGGTGTCTCCAAAGCACAAAAAAAAGAAAAGAAAAAAGAAACCACCCTTCCCACATTTCAGCCCCAGATCCAGGCCGAGGGGCTGCCCTGGCAGGCAGTGCAGGCCTAGAGGTCAAGTCAGTCCTGGCCATGGGCTTGAAGCGGGACCAGCCCATGGGTTTGGCTCTTAGGGCCTGGCTGGAAGGCTGCCTGCTTCAGTTTGGGCCCAGGCCCTGGACTAGGGATGAGAGATCAGGGGTCAAGGTCAGAGGTCTGGGCCACTCAGTTCCGGTGCTCTGGCTAAGGCAGCCAGAGGTCAGGGTTCACATGTGGAAGCTAAAGCCACTCAGTTCTGTGGTCCAGCAGAGAGGGCCCGAGGCTGGGATCCAGAAAGCACTGGGTCACTCAGTACTGGTGCTCCAGCAGAGGCTGGGCAGCCGGGCTCTCGCGCTCCTCAGCAGGGGCAGACCAGTCGCCTGGGGCCCCTGTGGGTGTTCCACTCTCAGGAGCACTGCTGTCCAAGCAAGGAATGTCCTGGGCTGCTCTGGGGGGTGAGGCGTCGGTGCTGATATCAGGGCTGAGGCTGAGGTCTAGGGGCGCCTGGGGAGGTGAGACAGGTTGGTGAAAGAGCAGACCTGAGCTGCCCAGGACCCTGCCCTCCCCCACAGGACCCTTACCTGAGATTTGGGGGTGCCTCCTTTGGGGCTCCCTGAGGCTGGCTCCCCCTCGGATCCCCCCAGCCCCTTCCGACCCCCCAGGCTCCACTTCCCACTGGGACCCTCAGAACAGAGGAGACCAGGGCCAGGGGGCTTTGAGGGCCGGGGACCCTCAGTGGGGGTGGGCGAAGCAGGGGGCAGTCCAGGGAGCCGAGGGGGGGGCCACTGCAGCAGAGGAGGGGGGCGCCCATCACCAGAACCACTCAGGGAGGGCCGTGGGCCCCAGCCAGGGCCTGGTGGGAGGGGTTGTTCGCCGCTGCCTGTAGGAGACAGATAAAAGGGCAGAGACCTCAGCTAGGTTGTCTCCCTCACCTACTGGTTCAGCCCATCCTTGCCAGCTCACCTGCTGTGTTCTCAGGTGTGGGGTGTGCCAAGGGGGGGTTATTGCTGAGGGAGGTCAAGCCACTGCCTCCACCACAGTCCGAGTCATCCACATTCCCACCACTATTGCAGCCAGCACCACAGCCCTTATGAAGCCTGGGGTGGGGGGAGACGAAGAAGTTGGCAGGGGTAGGGCCAGAGTCCTCACAAGCAGAAGTCCTCAGCCCTAGGACAAGTCACCTAACATCCCTGAGCGCCAAGATCCTGTTTCTACGAGATTTTGCCATCTATTTTGCAGGGTCTTTTCAGGAAGGCATTATCAATGGCTCTTAAGACTAACGGCCACCTTCAGCTGGTGGGGCAGCTGGAGACTGCAGCTCTGGGAGGGGACCAGCTCTCAGGGGTCCATCCTGGCCCAGCACCTCCTCACTGAGATCTCGGAGAGGCTGGCTTAATCGCTCTGAGCCTCAGCTTCCCGCTCCATGAACCCAGCCTCCTGGGTTGGGGTGGTGATGAAAGCTCACCTCTCCCAGCTGCGCAGAAGCCAGCGGGCGATGGCACCCAGGCTGACGGGGCCACCCCACAGCGCTCGCAGCTGGGGGTGGCTGCCAGCCAGCGAGGTGGTGAGGGGCGACACGTAGATGGGGTAGCCAAGTGGCTGGTCGCAGGATGAGTTGATCATGTTGCGAAGCGCCTGCTTGGCATTCTGGATACTGCCGCGCTCAGGGTTGCGGTTGCGCAGAAACACCAGCTCCTGCTGCTGCCCCGCCCATAGACCGCGCACGCACTCGCGGTTAACCTGCAGGCGGCCACACGCAAGGGTCAGGGAGCCGACGCCAGGGAGGGGGCCGGGCTGGGTGCGTGGGCCATCCCCACCTTGATGACGCGGAAGCTGAGGTGGCGCCTGTTGAGCATGATTATCTTGTATTCATCGGAGGCGTCATCCAGGACGTGGCGCAGCGCCAGCAGCGAAGGTGTGTTGCTGAGGATGGCGCTGCGCCAGGCCGGGTCGCCCTCATGCGAGATGACCAGCCGCTCCTCGTTGGCTGCGATGGCATCATACAGAGCAGCCGGCTCCTCATACTCATCTGGGGATGTGAAGTGGTCCTGCGAGGAGAGCAGAAGGGCTAGGGTCAGTGGCCCCTGCCCTGGAGAGGGACTTCACTCCACCTCTCCCCTACCTGCCTGCCCTGCCGGGGCACACCTTTCCCTACCTGGTGAAGCTTGAGGGCCATGCGAACCCCAGGCGCCACTACACGGTGAAGCAGGTCCATGTCGGCAAAGACCCACTCGTCACGTGGGGAGGTGATGCGGAAGTCCCCCTTGAACAGGGCATGTAGGCCATAGAGGAAGGGCTCCAGGCTGGAAGAGGGGCAGGCAGATAGGTGAGTGCCCAGGTTCCTGAGCTCTGGCTCCACATGCAGTGGTCTGAGCTGAGACCATTCTTCATGCTGGATCTCAGTTTCTCCATCTTGACAAAGGTCCCAAGTCCCTCACAGGGAGGTGAGGAGCAGACAAGGTCACACAGCCTTGCCCATGAGAAGAGCCACAATGAAGAAAGGACTGAAGTGGTTCCTGGAGGCCCCTGGCCCAGAACTCTCTGCTAATGGGGTTGAAGGGAGAGTGGTAGGCCCTGCTGGACCTGTGAGCACTTACCTGGCAGACATGCTATGTGAGGCTGTCCCCAGGGCCCGGCGGCCCAGCACACACAGGCCAAAACACAGCGTGACCAGCGGCGAGTTCCAATCCTGGTCCACGGGCTGTGGCACAAGGACCCCCATCCCCAGAGCCCAGCTCAGACTTCGGACAGGGAACTTGGGGTGGGGTCTGGGGCCCAGGCTCAGGGAAGCTGAGGGTGAGAGGATCCCGCCCAGAGAGGGGAGAAAGCAGCCCAGGGTCGTGATGGCCGGACCTGGCTGCGCCGCGAGGCACAGTACTGGATCCACTCAAGGTGCACCGCGCAGAAGGAGGGCAGCGAGAGGCCAGAGAGGCGAAGGTCATAGTCCTCATCCACGCTCAGCGAGAAGGTGGGGTCCGAGTCAGCATAGCCAGGTGCCCGCACAGGCCGCAGGGCTGCTGCTATGCCCTCGTGGCCCAGCCACGCCTCCAGCTTGGGCGAGCGGCTCACATAGTAGATGATGCTCTGAGAGGAGAGGGCAGGCATCAGGGCTGGGCCAGTGACTGGAGCAGTGCCCTGGCGTGGCTACTGCAGGAGAAAGCGTTGGGGTAGAGAGGCTCCTCCCTTAGACTGAGCTGATGTCTGCTTCCTAGGACACTCATCCCGTGTCCTCTCTCAGCTCCGTGAAGCCATACAGGCAAGTCTGCTCATTTCCCCTATGCCACGGGGGGGAGGTGAGAAAGCGGACAGGTAGCACCCTTCCTTACAGAGCGTCCCCTGGAGAGTCCTGCACTGTGGCCAGTGCTTGCGTACTTGCTTCAGAAGATGCCCCATTTTGGGCCGGCCGAGTGGCGCATTGGTAAAGAGCTGGTTTGGGACGCCAGAGGGCCCCGGTTCGGATCCCACATGAGGGCCAGTGATACTGCCCCCTACAGCTAAGACGCTGAACAACAGCTCAACTTGGAGCTGGGCTGCTGTGAGTCGCCGGACGGCGGCGTAGGCTGCAACCACTGCTGCAGTGAGTTGCCATGGGCTACCATGTGTAGCCAGCAGCCAGCGGGAGTGGCCAGCAGCCACAGTGAGCTGCCGTCCAGAAGCCGGCGACTGATCTGCCTCTCCCGGGAAGAGTGCAATGATGGTGCCAACTTGGGCCAGTGAAGCAACGTCCTCCACAACTAGACTGAAGAACAAAATGACAGCAACTTGTCTGTTCCCCTTACCCCAATTCCCCAGCGCTGTTCCAATTCCCCAATAAAAATCTCTAAAAAAAAAAAAAGATGCCCCATTTTAAAGGGAAACTGAGGCTCAGACGGTAGACCTGCCTAAGGTTAAACACCAGGGTAGACTGAGCTGGGATTGCAGTCGTGAGACCTTCACTACCATGATGCTGTGGGATGCAGATCTCAGAGGCCTTGGAAGGTCAGGCTGAGGTAGTGGGGCTGGCTGCGGGCCAGTGGGGCCTAAGTGCTT